TTAGTATCACACCTATAGATGGGATCTTGTCAAATAGCTCGTCTTAAAACAAGGATTAGGAGCCAATTAGCTCAAGAAACAGTATTGAAAAGGCAGTTAGAGGAGGACTGTTCAAAAATCATTTACAAAGAACAGGTACAGATCTATCCAAATGGATTCACACACAATAAGATGGATTTACCCACTTCATCTCTTCTTTTGAGATGGGCAAAAAAATAATTGGGAAGGAAAGAAAAATCTCATTCCTGAGAACCTTGTGTTAGATACTACCAAAAAAAGTATTTAAAAAACAATACTTTTCACCAAATCTATTTTTCCAAGTTATTTAGATAACATTCATTTTGCAATGTTCCTTTTTATATATATGGGAGTCAGTCTTGGAAAATGAAAGTAGTACATTCCAAGGCTGACTTTTCTTAGGAGACATAACGAAACAATCATGTTTGTATCTCACTGAGTCTTAAGGATGGTAATTTGTGATGCTGTCATGACTTAATGTAGAGATGGCTGCAACATCATAGTTTGTAATTTAACTCCTTTATATTAATACAAAATGAGGATTTGTTCTTGGCTATCAATTAATAGCCAAAGGCACTGAAGATGATACTTCTGAAGGAACATAGGATTTGTCATTCTGGATACAGATCAATCTAGTCATGAAACTGGTAAATCTAGTCCTCCCAAAGGCAGTTATGAGCATCTGATGAATGCTTCAAAGTTTGCTAGCAAGCCTAAGCATATTCATAAGACTTTACTTGGGGGATTTTATATAAAAATTCAAAAAGCAATTTGTGATTTATAATAGACCCATAGTGCATTACAAAACAGGTAATATGACACTCTCCAGGGGGTTATTTGGAAACACTTGAGAGGCATCCATAATAAACTAATGCTGTCATTTGCATATTTAATTTATATGCCCAGTCTGTCAACTATTTCAAAGAACATAAAACACTTTCTGTATCTCTTATGTAAAGATGATTTCTGCATAATATTATATGGCTTTTCAGTTTAAATTAACATCCCTTTTTCTACTAGGAACTGCTCTCCCTTAGGAGGTTGTTCATGCTTTCCACTGTGTAAAAGAAAGTGTCACAGAAAGTTTAACACCTTAACATGTTTATCTTGTTCAAGCCATATAGAATTTAAAAAGCTGTTTCATCCAAAGAAAAAAGAGGTGTTAGTTGCTTCTCTCTCCGTTGCAGAATGATTCAGAAAAAGTCCTGCTGCTTCAAACAGAAAATCCATTTAATCCAGAATCCTGTTTCCCGAAGAAGCTAACCAAAAAAACTTACAAATGAGAATGAAGCAGTAGCCCAGTTCCTGGTCCTCAACAACTGAAATACAGAGATAGGTTGGCTTTCCAACCTGGAGATAATATTTGTCCCTCTTGTTAATTGCCTGCATTTTTGAAGTTTATATATCAGGCCATATAATAACCACAAAGTCTGAAGTTGCACAATACACCACAGACAATCCTTGCTTACTGATCATTCATTCAGCTATGAAGTTAGGATGGCGCTGGCCGGAGACTTACAACCGGTCCTCAAAGTTGTGGCCACTGCAGCATCCCCCAAGGTAGGTGACCACAATTGGGGTGCTTGGCAACTGGCATGCATTTATAACATTGATAAGGTCCTGCAATCATGTGGCTGCCATTTGCAACTTTCATAGTTGGCATCCAACAAGCAAAGTCATGGAGAAGCCAGTGGGAAGTTGCTAGTCACAGTCACATGGCATTGCCCTTAACCATTCACAGTGATTTACTTAATGACTGCAGCTGAAACTGACAAAAACGCTGTCATAGGACATGATTTGTCACTTTATTATTACATGGTACACTTTACAGTTCCAACTGCAGTCCTTAAGTGAGGACTACATATTAAAATGTAATTGGCTAATTGATGACTTGGTGTGCAGTACAGTCGCAAGCACTATCAACAATAGCCTCCATTAATTTGCCTATGTGTCTTTTGAAGATATTTAAGCTGATAATGAAAACTGGAAAAAAAAGACTGGATTGGATGTAGTCTATCTCAGACATACTATAATCTCATTCTATATCAATTTAAAAAGTGAAAATAATCCTTATATTGGAATTCTTATTATTATTATTATTTTGTTATAATTTCAATTCATGGGACCTAGATCTCAGTTGCATTAAATAAGGATTACATAAGGACTGTGTGATTTGTATTATTAATATGAAGTCACTAATTAAATTTTTGTGCTTTCTTTATCAGTGTTCCTTACAGTCTGCTTGCAATGCGATAAATTTCCCCTTTTCCCCTCAGCCAATTTTTGCAAGTGATTTGTTAGCCAGGAATATTGAGAATTGTAGTCCAACAGATCTAGCAGATAAGAATGCTGGGAAACAGTTAATTCAAGATTAATTAATTCAACATAGCTTTGCAGACTATACCTGGTTCTCCTGGTAATGCCATTGACAGATTTGCAAAACTTGTTCTAGTCCTTCACCCTGCAGCTTCAAGTATTTGTCCAGCTGTCTCCTCCTATCTTGCAGAACTTCAAGGAGAATGTCAATTTTCAAACAACTATTGTGGGCTCCCTGAATGAATTCTGGATTTATATTCGGCCCATCAGATTTCAATCCCTGTATGAATTCAGTTAGTTCATGGCTTTTGTTTAAGAGTCTCAATGATTTTTCCAGCAGCTCTGCAAAGACAGCATTAAAAATAACATATTAAATTGCAGGTGAACACATAATTATTTGCACTGGAGAAAGTATACATTTATGAACAGGAATAGAATAGAAATAGAAATAGAATAGAATAGAATAGAATAGAATAGAATAGAATAATAACTTTACTGTCACTTTAAATGTGCACTAATCAGCATACATTAAAATGAGATTTCATTGCATACAGCTTTCAAAGGGTAACTACACCAATACACCCTGCATAAATATGACCAAAAAAATTATTGCTGTTAGTTTGTTGTATTATAAGAGAAAAACAGTAAAACTCTGTACTTCAGTGTCATGCTTAAGTGAACATGATTTTGCTGTGCCACATCCAGTTCCCCTGGGGAGCCACAGCTCTTAGCGGGCATACTTGCAGCATGAAAATGCCAAGAAGCGAAGCTCTTCGGAGTAATGGAATGCCAAGAGACTTGCATATTATATCCAGCAGAGGGCATTGCTATCATTCAGATTAATTTTAACACAAGCCATTTAGATATTGGCCTGCCCTATAATGTTCTGGTCTGACAGACTGACAGTTCCTAAAGCCCAAAATAAAAAGCATGTCATCTGCATATTACATCAATTGTACTTAAACATGTATTTGCACATTATCCCTGTGATTCTTACTCTTTTTAAAAAAAAAACAAACCACAGTACAACAGGCAGTTCTAAGCACTGTTGCTGAAATTACATTCTTATAAAACCTGATATATAAGGGCAAAGTTCAAACTCTGAATGCCAATATTTCATCTCCCTGTGTCAACACAATTGGATCAAGCACTTCGCATGTTTGTTACCACACAAACACTCTTGCCAAGTGACATTCCTTGGGATATTGGCATAGTGATTTTAACAGCAGCTAGTGGAAAACCTTCACGGTAAGGTAGATAGGAAATACAAGGTACTTTCCAAAAGATTAAACTATTTCATCATGTAAACACCATGAGAAAAATTGCAGACCACTTTCTCCTAAAAGACATCTGTAATTTCGGGGGACAGCTGCCTAGGACTGGAAATATAATTTAAATCAAATGTCAAAAAATGTTGCATACATTATTTGACAAAGATGTTGTGTCACACAGGGTGCCTTTTGCAAAATGTAAAGGCAGCAGCAGTACTTAATCACTTA